TCGACCCCCCCCCCCCAGGCAGCTCCTGGCCGGTGACCCTTTCTTCGAGGTGCCCAGGGTGGCAGCAGAGCTGACCACGCGGCGGGTGCTGACCATGGAGCTGGGGAGTGGCGTCCCCCTGGATCAGTGCCAGGACCTGCCCCAGGACGTCCGGAACGAGGTGGGAATGGGCAGACACGCCCGGCGAGCCAGTTCCATGAGCATGACGGCCGGGCTGCCCCTCAGGCAGTGGGAGCTAGTGGTCAGAGCCGGAGGGCTGGGAGCCAGGGCACCAGGCCTCTCAGCTCTGGCTCTAAGTTGCTGGATGATCCAGAGCTGGGGTCTGTGGCGGGAGGAATATGACCCTGTGGGGCAGGGCCTGGCCGGCTCCATACCTGGCACAGGAGAGCCCCAGCTGCAACTCCCATGCTGCCGCATGCCAATAACCCTCCACCCCCCCAGATCTGCCACCACGTCCTATGGCTTTGCCTACGGGAACTCTTCCAGTTCCGCTTCATGCAGACGGACCCCAACTGGGCCAACTTCTTCTACGACGCCAGCAAGCACCAGGTGGGACGGGGCCCCAGGAGGGGGGCCACCGGAGGGGGGCCCAGAGCTGGGGGGGGGTACCAGGCACCCTGGGGAGAGGGGGAGCCCCCAACCACCCTTCCACCCCTGGCTGGGCTGCTGGCTCCAAGTGCAGGGCAGGGTTTGCCTTCAGCCCTGTCTTGGGTGGGGGGCAGGGTCACTCTAATACACACAGTAATGCCCCCCCACTCCCTGGCCTCTAGGGGCTACCGTAATGCACCTAGTAATCGACCCCTAGCATTCTAGCCTCTAGGGGCTACCGCAATGCACCTAGTAATCGCCCCCCAGCATTCTGGCCTCTAGGGGCTACCACAATGCACCTAGTAATCGCCCCCCAGCATTCTGGCCTCTAGGGGCTACCACAGTGCATCTAGTAATTGCCCCCCAGCATTCTGGCCTCTAGGGGCTACCGCAATGCACCTAGTAATCGCCCCCCGCATTCTGGCCTCTAGGGGCTACCCTAAACCATGTAATAGTTGCTTCTGCCTCCAAGGGCTGCTGTAATTCACCTAGTAATCACCTCCCTCTCCTGGTTTCTTGGTGTTGCCGTAATAGTTGTAATTGCCCCCTCCTGACCCAGACCTTTAGGGTCTACTGTAATACACCTAGTAATCCCCCCTCTGACCTCTAGGGGATCTCTTAATATTGTCCCACCCCCACAACCTCTAAGTGCTGCTGTAATGCATGTAGTAATCGCCCCCACTCTAGGAGCTACCGTATTACTCAGAGTAATCGCCCCTGCCCTGCTTTGATAAGGGGGAGTCATGGCTTGGGGGAGCCAGCAAAATGATTGTGTTTGTGTCCTTGGACCGGTTAACCAGGGGTGAGCCAGCGCAGGGCAGCTGGGGCTGTGGGGGAGCACCCCACCTGCCAGGCATGGCAGGGGCTGCTCCAGGCCAGCCAGCCTCGTGGGGCTGGGACTGCTCCGGCCCGGCCGGGGTCCTGGCTCTCTGCCATGCGCCCCAGCTGCTACCCTGACACGGCCAGCCTGCTGGGCCAACAGCCGGGGCTGCTCTGGCCTGGCACGGCAGCCCGTCCACCAGGGTTATCCGCTAAGCTAAGCCTAGTGCCGGGGCATGGCAGCCTGGCGCGGGGACGGCCGGGTGCTGTTGTCTGGCTTGGATGGGTCAGAAGTGACCTGGCCCCTGGCCATGCCGGCTGAAATATAAACAGCTGAGCTCTGAACTCCACCCCCCACCCCCTGCACTGCAATCCTGCTGCAGGATGCTGTGGGGCAGTACTTCCCGTTGTGGGGCCGTCGGCGCTTGGGCACCGGGCCAGGTCCATCTCGGCTCCTCCTCTGGCGCTGCTATCCTTTTCTCTTGCTTCTCTGCCTCCATCCCCCTCTGTCCCATGGGGCGTATCCATCCCTATCAGCGCGCGCTCTGCGGCTGAGAACTTCACCGGGGCCTCTCTCCAGCGGGGAGGGGCAATAAAAACAGCAGCTACAGCCCCTCCTGCCCACGCAGCAGGCAGAGCCCCAGGCGCTGGAGCACTGAGCGTTCTCTGGCCCCAGCAGCGGGGAGTTCCGCAGGGAGGTGGGGCGGGCGGCACGACGCCAGCGTGGCATCCCTCTGGCTCTTAGCTGTTTCCGTGGGGTGAGGCTCTCCTTGCCCCAGGCAACCCCTAGAAAACATCCCCGGGCTGTGAGCCGCTGCTGTTGTCCCCTCCAGGTGACTCTGCTGGATTTCGGAGCAAGCCGGCCCTTCAGCAGAGAGTTCACTCATCACTACATCGAGGTACGGGCGCCTTTGCCGCACGCACGGGAGCCCGCCTGGCTGTTCCGGAGGCTTCCCGGCGTCCCCCAGAGCCAGGGGGTTGAGGCAGCCGGGGCAGGGGCCAGGATATAGATTGAGAAAGCAGCAGCCTGCCCTTTGCCTCGGTTTCCCCTTCCGTCTGGTGTCTGTTCAGAGTGGAGGCCCTCAGGGCAGGGACCATCTCTCACCCTCTGTGTGGGACCCAGTGTAAGGATCCCTGATCTCGGCCGGGATGTGGGGGCGCCCGGCCTGACGGGGCCCTGATCTCGGCCGGGGTCT